AACGATGCGAGATAGCTGGATCTGGAGGAAGCCACGTTTGTCACATGTGGCGACCTTGATGTTTGGGGGTTTACTACCGCCCGTACTGTTTTCATACTTATGCAAAGTATTCAGTGTTCCCTGTTTAGCCTGACATGGTAACAAAGAGGGCGAACCGATGAAGAATGATTTATGGGTACATTCCACATGTGGAGCGGTTTATGATCGCTGCTATGAAAGCACGTCAAAGGTAAAGAATACACTAATCTGCATAAATCTTAACGGACAACTTAAACTACTTCTTTAACTTTACAGAATCGTACAGGTGGTGACGAGGATGATGTCATATACGTTTAAGCATTGTTAAGTATATGCATCCCAAGACGGAAGGTGCAACCGTTAGCGAGAGGCCAAACTCGCTTTGGTCGCTGGTTGCTTTGTATATGTTCGTTGAATTTAGGCTACAAACAAGTGTTTATTTGGAGTTGATAAAGATGTGGCTCAAGGTAGAAGATACTGCTTTACTACATTGCTTGCTCGATGCTGACGAGGAGCAGACGTCCTTGTCAACGGGATTGGACAGGGCAAAGGTATTTATTTTTGCTTATATTGTAATGCATATGCATCCGTATGGTATTGTCCAAGAAGGTGAGTCGTACTGCATGGCTCGAACTGTTGTCGACCATGCAGATGCTAGAAAAAGTGTGGAGAGGCTGATGAAAAAATTTGAACGAAGAGAAACGTTGTTTCCGCCATTACAATTATGTGAAAAGAATCGTCTCCTATATTATAGGTGCACGTAATCTTACACTTTCAAAGCCTTGTGGTCATTAGTCCAATGAGCGGAATGAGTGCATGCATAAAATGGTTTATGATAGCATTTTTTCAGCGGAGCCAAACGCGCAAATGCAAAAGCGAAAGGCTTTCTCAAAGCTGAGACAACGGGACTACAGTTATGGAGATCGGAAGATAACGAAATGCTAGTACAGCGTATGTAATCTACGCAAAATCATGTATCTAATTAGAGTGGCAAGTAACTGCTCGCGCTTTTCTCTCTCAAGTACAAAGGCAGACGTGTTGACCAAGTGACGGTGCCGTGGGTATTGAAACAACTTCTTTGCGATAGCGGGTTCGGAGAATTAAATTTTTTCTGCAACACGGTACGTTCGGTTTTGCTCTATTTAGCAAACTCCCCTGGACGAAGCATGCAATTGCTGGCCAACATTATGAAGAGTTTTATCAGCTAAAGCTGAGAAGCATTGAGAGCGGTGAAGCGGTGCTGATCTGGATTGTGCTGGCCTCTCTGGTCAGTTCTTTAGTTTTAGTTTCAATAAAAAAGGCCCTTAACCGAGATACTTCTTCTCGCAAGACATACACAACAGATGCAGCTGCAAAATTATTGTGAGTGATACTTGATTGGCTCGTATATGGTTACATAAACGTGCGTCGGACAGCGATACGGGAAGCGTTAGAAAACGAACACATCATCCAAGAAATAAACAAGAAATTCAAGCTGGCAGAGTAAGTTCATTGTGAACGCGAGCTCATTTTTCAATCTTATAATCTTTATTTTAAAAAGAAGACGCGTTAATCGTTTTGACAACTTGGAAGAAGAGGATCTCAAATGGAGGATTTCGACGACGAGCAGGCTTGAGGCTCGCGCAAGAAAAATTCAGATACAGGGCCGGAATGATACGCTGTATAAGGGAAGACTGTCAAACTGGAGATCCCTTACCACTGTGGTGATTCTCCGTCGTTGCTCTGCACAACCTCAGTTATGTAGGAAGAGGAATTGCATGATTAATACTAATTCGTTTTGCTTAGATGCATAAAAATTTTGGCTTCCACGTTGTGCCTATATGACGGAATGTTAGAAGATCGTCGTCAGAGGAGGATTTCCGTCGACACGAGAGGGCGCCATTTGACGTGCGAGAGGTGCTGTTCTCCCGTACAATACCGATGCTGATGGTCTGCTTGTTGCTGACGCGCCAAATGAGCCGTTCGTGTGCAAAGAGCAGACAGGCCTCAGTGGCGCAACGGTAATGACGTTTGCGTATGTAATATCATTGCACAAGAGTGTATGGCAAACCATAATGACAACGGCGTCCTTTTAGGACGTGTTCCAAGCCGGAATGCGCGGTTGTTTTGTATGCAAGATGCCTTTGGTAACAGGAACTCGGTGATGATACTGTTTCGTAGACGCAATGACCGTCATGCGGTTGTTGTGCTTCTAGGGAATTGGCTCTCTGAGGAAAGCGGAAAACGGTGTGACTGCTGTGTAGCTGTGGCCGAACACAAGCAGAAGGTGTTCACATTGGTAAATTAATGGAATCGTACGTAAATAATCATTGGAAGTTATTGAAGACATACGTTCAAAAGCGACAAACTGATGTAAAGCTCCTTCCACTGCAGGAAGCGTTGATGAAGGCTAATGGAGTACAGCACTTTGCAAGAGAGGCGATGGCACTCTGGCGTCAAATTCTCCACGATAAAAGCCTATCGTTCAGCAAATTCTAGGATTGCTGCAATTAGAGTTTGGGTTTAGAGGTTGGGTTTATTGGCTGTATACGTATTCGGCAACAAGAATCATAGTTTAAAAATTGCCTGATCACAAGTCAGGTAAGTTTATCTAGAAAGGTTTTTTTCTTGCGCATAAATGCTATCCAGAAATGACAAGCGACATTTTGCAGAAGAAAGGGAACAAAACAGACGCGCACTTTCAAATAAGTACAAATTTGCTTAAGAGAACCGTAATAGAATTGAGATAAACTCACAAAAGAAAATGATGGAAATCACGGAAGAATTAGTGATTTTGTTGTTTATTTGGTTTTTCAGAAATTATGTATAGGTTATATTGTTTAGTTATCAACGATTCATGAGATTTTGCAATAATGTCATACTTTCACCGGTTTTGTTGCTGTCTTACGTGAAGTTTTTATCATCAACTGATTCATATATTGTCGCTGTTTTTAACATCAGCAACTGATTCATATATTGTCGCTTCATGT